GTGTTCGATCCTCTTCGTTCACCTATAGACGCAACCGAGAGAGAGAGAAAAAAGTGTTCGATCCTCTTCTTTCACCTATAGACGCAATCGAGAGAGAGAAAAAAAGTGTTCGATCCTTTCTATTCACCTATAAACGCGAACGAGAGAGATTAAAAAGTGTTCGATCCTCTTCTTTCACCTATAAACACGAACGAGAGAGAGAAAAAAAAGTGTTCGATCCTTTCCATTCATCTATAAACGCGAACGAGAGAGAGAAAAAAAGTGTTCGATCCTCTTCGTTTACCCATAGACGCGTCCCTGGCGTTCGCAGATGATGGGCTTCTCGTGGTGGCAGCCGACGTCGTGCCACCTGACCCCGTCGTCGTAGAAGTTGTTCAGGACAGCCAGGCAGTTCTCGCCCCCTTGCTCGCGGTTGTCCGGTTGGGGGTGGCCGGTGCTGGGGGTGGAGGAGGAGGATTAGTAAGGGGGGGGGAGGAGAGGGAAGGTGGAGGGGGAGGAGGGGATTAGTAGGGGAGGGGGGAGGGGGAGGGGAGGAGAGGGAAGGTGAGGGGAGGAGGGGGATTAGTAAGGGGAGGGGGAGGGGGAGGGGGAGGAGAGGGAAGGTGGAGGGGGAGGAGGGGGATTAGTAAGGAGGGGGAGGGGAGGGGAGGGGGAGGGGGGTGAAGGGAGGAGGAGGAGGGGGATTAGGAAAGAGGGAAGGATGGGGGAGGGTGGAGGAAGGGAGGAGGAGGAGGGGGATTAGGAAAGAGGGAAGGATGGGGGAGGGGGAGGAGGAAGGGGTGGAGGAGATGGTGGATTAGTAGGGGGATTAGCAAAGAGGAAAGGGCGAGGGAGGGGAGGAGGAGGAGGAGGAGAAGAGGAATAAAAATGAAAGAAAATAAGGGAGAGGTTGATGAATTAAGAGATGGAAAGGGAGGAAGAGGAGCCTAAAATAATAAGTATAAGGATGAGGTGGAGGAAGAGGAGAAAGGAAAACAAGAGATGGAGGAGGAGAAGGGAGAGACAATGAGGAAGAAAATGAAAGAAGATTAAAATAACAAAAAAAAAAAAAAAAAAAAACAACGAAATACAAACACCAGGGACGACCCCTAGTAATAAAATCACAGCTGACACTCACGCTCCAGTATGGGACCAGTTCAGGCCGACGAACGGAGCTCTGGAGGGCCAAGCGAAGTCGTAGCCGCTGCGATAACCTCCCGTCCAGATGTACTCCAGTCCGTCTGGAAGTTAAAGAAAATGAACTTGTAAAAAGAGATTGTTCTATAGCCGGTCTAGGTGTATTTCCGTGCATCTGAAAGTTGTATATAGATAGTTGATTTGAAAAAAAGTTGTATAGAGAACGTTGATTTGAAAAAAAAAAAAAAAAAAAAAACTTTTATATTGTATTGTATTATATTTCTTTCCATCTATATGTTGTAAAGAGAAAAAATATTTGAAAAAGACTTTTATATTCGGTTTAGTTGTATTTTAGTCATTCTGAAAGTTGAATAAAGAAAATTAACCTGGAAAAAAATACTTCAGAGTGCTTCAGAATCTGTCCTGAAACCTGAAAAATTTTTTCAGTCCGTTAGAAAATTAAAATAAATCTATGCCCGTCTGATGTAAGGAGAAAAATTATTAAAAAAAAAAAAACTAATATTCGGTGTAGATGTATTTTAGTCATTCTGAAAGTGGATTAAAGAAAATTAAACTATGTGTGCTATAAAATTTGGCCAGAAACTGGTGTATTTCAACCCGTATGATAGCTTAAGAAAATTGTAACTTGAATTTGACCCGAAACCCGAAAAAGTGTATTTCAATCCGTTTGTTGAACATAAAACTCCATTGGCGTTTCTGATTTTGACCTGCAAAGAACTACGTACGTCCGTAAGCTGTAAAAAATAATAATAATAGATAAATAAATAAATAAACCCGTAAATGCTTAGAACTGAAACCCGAAAAAAGACATCTTCATAAAAAAAAAAAAAAAAAAAAAAAACAGTAGACCCCTTTCGACCGAGAACAACAACAAAAAATCCCCTCAGAGTCCTCCTCCACGCTACGCCCTGACAACCGAGGCCCCGAAGACCCCAACGCACGAGACACACCCCCAGTAATGATGTTGCTGACGGATCGGTCCTCCTCGTGGGTCTCGATGCTGATGCCGCTCCAGCCGTGGCCGAGGGAGGAGCAGTACCGGACCGCGTGTTCCCAGGGGTACTTCCGGCCGTTGTCGTGGCGCCAGGAGAAGTGGTATTCGCTTCCGCCTTGCCTGTAGTCCAGCGAACGGTCGAAGGAAGTGAGTGGGGAAGGGGAGGGAAGCGAACGGTCGAGAGTGAGTGGGGGAGGGGAGGGAAGCGAACGTCGAGGAATGAGTGAGGGGGAGGGGAAGGGAAGCGAACGGTCGAGAGGAAGTGAGTGGGGGAGGGGAGGGAAGCGAACGGTCGAAGAAGTATGGGGGAGGGGAGCGAACGGATCGGAGAGTGAGTGGGGGAGGGGAGGGAAGCGAACGTCGAAGAAG